GCAGCCACCTGAGGATGAGGAGACCGAATGAGGCTCAGATTTGGGGTCAGCCAGTGGGATTTGGTGAATCCAAGGAAGAAATAACTCCAGGTTTAACCGAAGAAGCGCTGTTTCACCCCCAGTTTGGTGCCATGTTGTTGTGTTGGTTTTTTATCCCACTATAATGCAGTTTTTCTGCCCAGTTTGGCTCTAAATCTCTTTTTTTTCCTGCCCACTGTGGCCCTACAGCTCCATTTTTGGTCTCATTTTGATGCTTTAATTCTTTTTTGCTGTGATATGATGCTTTGGTTTCCCCTCTCCCTTCTTTGGTTTATTTCAATGTTATTGTTCTCTTTTTTGGTATATTTTGGTTCTCTTAGGTCTCTGTTTTTTCCCCAGTTTGGTTCTTTTGCTTTCTTTTTTGCTTTGTTTTGATGCTATGATCCCTTTTTTCACCCCCTTTTTTGCTCTTTCTGATCCTCTCACTCCCCTTTCTGCCCCACTTTGGCCCTTTCCCCCTTTAATTTGGCTCTTTTTGGTGCTATAATTCCCTTTCTCTGCCCCAGTTTGGCCCTTTCACCTCCCTTTCTGCCCCATTCTGTTCCTATCACCCCTTTTTTGGCTCTTTTTGATCCTCCCACCCCTTTTTCAGTCACAGTTTGTGCCTGTCAGCACTTTTTTACCCCAGTTTCTTCCTCTCCCCCCTTACTTGGCTCTTTCTGCTGCCATAACCCCCCTTTTTTTTACCTGAGTTTGGCCCTCTTGCCCCTTTCTTATCCTAGTCTTGCCCTCCGTCCCCCCCTATTTTCCCCCTCTAACTCCACTTTCTTCCTCCCTCCCTCCCCATTTTCCCCTCTTTCCTCCCCATCTTTCCCCCCCTATTTTCCCCCTCTAACTCAATTTTCCTCCTTCTTCCCCATTTTTCCCCTTCCCCCCCCCCCCGTTTTCCCCCTCCCCCTCCAATTTTCCCCCCCGACCCCATTTTCCCCCCTTTCCCCCCTCTAGGAGGCCGTGCCATGACGATGCTGTGCACGGCGGTGGTGATGCTGGGCAGTTTGGCTCTGACCACAGCTGTGGTGGCCCACGCCTATTACCTGAAGCACCAATTCTACCCCACCGTGGTGTACCTCACCAAATCCAGCCCCAGCATGGCTGTGAGTACCACCCGAGGGACCATCCCTCCCCAGCTCTTTATTTTGGGTTTAAATCCTGGCTTTTTAGGACAGGAGACCACGAGGGGTTTCCCCAAATGTTCCCCCTCCTTTGGGCTTTCCCCAATTGCTCTTCAGTTGGGTTTTCATGAGAGCAGAGGCCAGCGTTGCTTTTTTCCCCTTCTTCCACCTGCAGCATTTCCTAGCGGCCTCGTTACGCTTAATGAGCAATTAACCAACCCTCTCAGCACCGCCTCCCGTCACACTGGGCCTCACTTCTGCTTTCTGACACCCAAAAAGCTTCATTTTCCACCCAAAAGCGGCCATGAAGGCACCAGTCTGCCCCATAGGGAGCCCCGAAATGGGGCTGGGGGCTCTCAGCCCCCCCCTGCCCCAGATTGGGGTTCTTTGAGGGTCTCTCCTTGCAGGTTTTGTACATCCAGGCCTTCGTGTTGGTGTTCCTGCTGGGGAAATTCATGGGCAAGGTGTTCTTTGGGCAGCTGCGTGCGGCTGAGATGGAGGTGAGCGTGTGGGGAGGGCAGAAATGGGGGGGATTTGGGGTGAAAAAAGGAGATTTTGGGGTTTAGGACACGTTTTCTGTTCCTTGAGGGGCTAAACTCCTCAGGGAGGGGAGTACGTTATAAATTTAAGGGCTTTTTCTGCCTCTGAGCAGCTGAATTCTGTAGGGATGGGACAGCAGTGTGGATTTCAGGGTTTATTTTACTTTTAAGCAACTGAAATCTACAGGAATGAGTCGAAATTGCAGGATTTTGGGTATTTTTTCCTGGTGGCTTGGGGTTAAATTCTGTGGGGTTAGGTCAAGGTTAAGGATCTTGAGAGCATTTCCCAACTCTGAAGGGCCAAATCCCACCGATTTGGGGCCACATTCTGGATTTTTGGGGTTTATTTCACCTCTGAAGGGTTCAGTTCCTTTGGAATGGGGCGATGTGATGGAATTATGGGATTTTGGGGGCTTGATGGGATTTTTGGGGCTCCCCACAGCACCTGATGGAGCGCTCCTGGTACGCCGTCACCGAGACCTGCCTGGCCTTCACCGTCTTCCGTGACGACTTCAGCCCCCGTTTCGTGGCCCTCTTCACCCTCCTCCTCTTCCTCAAATGCTTCCATTGGCTGGCCGACGACCGTGTGGATTTTGTGAGCACTGAAATTAGCCCTTAAAAAACCCTAAAAAGGCTCATTTTGGGGGGCTGGGTTTCACCTTTTGCCCCCTCTCCTTTTAACAGATGGAGAGGAGCCCCAACATCTCCTGGCTCTTCCATTTCCGCATCATCTGTGAGTCAAAGCATCGGGGCCCCATCCCATAATAAGCATCAGGGCCGCATCCTTCCCCTTGCAGCGTGGGTTTGGGGTTTGTTGTGCACCCCCAGCTGGCTGGGAGAGATAACTTGGGGCTGAATTTGCATGGGGCAGCCAAGTGTGGGGCTGGCGGGGCTGATAAGCTCGTGGGTTCGTTATTCTAATGAGTGCTCGGTGCTTAATTAGCGGGGCTGTACAGAGATGTGTTGGTGGGGGGTTAACGAGCTTTGGGGGCTGAATGTGACCCCAAATTCAGTTCTGTTGGATTTTAAGGGTTTGACCCAGATTTAGGATCCTCAATATTAGGAAAAGAGAAAATATTTTGCATTTTAAGGGTTTTTTTTTCCACCTCCTAGGGGCTTCTACTCACAGGAATGGGGCAAAAATCTTTGATTTAAGGGTTTTTCCACTTCTTAGGAGTTATATTCCTCTAGAATGGGTATAAATACCAGGATTTAAGGTTTTTTCTTCGTCTCATAGAAGCTATATCCAAACAAAATGGGGCAAAATTCCTGGGTTTAAGGTTTCTTTCCACTCTTAGGGGCCATAACCCACCAGAATGGGTCAAAATTCCTGGATATCAGGTTTTTTTCCCCTCTTAGGTACTACATCCCACTAAGAAGGAGCGAAGTTCTTGGATTTAGTGATTTTTTTTCCCTCCTTTAGGAGTTGTATCCCCAGGAAGGGGGCAAAAGTCCAGGATTGAAGGGTTTTTTCCACCCTTCAGGGACAATGACCCACAGGAATGGGTCAAAAGCCCAGAGTCAAAGGGTTTTTTCCGTCTCTTAGGAACTGTATCCCACCAAAACAGGTCTAAATTCCTGGATTTTAGGCTTTTTTCCACCTCTTAGCAGCTATATCCCCCCCGCAATGGATCTAAATTCCTGGATTGAAGGCTTTTTCTACTCTTAGAGCCTACATCCAACCAAAATTGGTCAGAATTCCTGTGTTTGAGGTTCTTTCCCCACCTGTGCTGAGCTCCATCCCACAAGCACAACTCCACACCGCCCAGCTGATGCCTTTTTTTCCCTTTCCCAGCCCTCATGTTCCTGCTGGCCATCCTGGATTTCCTCTTTGTCAGCCACGCGTATCACAGCATCCTGACCCGCGGCGCCTCGGTCCAGCTGGTGTTCGGCTTCGAGGTACCCCCAGCTCCTGCAGGGGACAGACAACCCCGTGCAGGACAGACAGACAGCGCCGTGTCCCCCCACAGTACGCCATCCTCATGACCATGGTGCTCACCATCTTCATCAAATACGTGCTGCACTCCATCGACCTGCAGAACGAGAACCCGTGGGACAGCAAGGCCGTCTACATGCTGTACACGGAGCTCTTCACTGGTATGGGGCCTTCTTTCCCTCTTTCTCTCCCCTCCTTCCCTCCTCCCTTTTTCCTCTCCCTCCTCCCCGTTTTGGGGTTGTTCTAACCAATACGGCGTGATGTGTCATCAGGAAGGGTGATGAGGGTTCTGAAGGGCAAAATCCCACCAGACTGGGGCAATATTATGGATTTTTGGGGTGTATTCTCCCTCTGAGGACCTAAACTCAATGGGAGTGGGGTCATATTACTGCATTTAGGGTTATCTCTACTTCTTTGGGGTTAAATTGTATGGGATTGAGTCAACGTTGGGGATCCAAAGAGCATTTTCCAGTTCTGAAGGACAGAATCCCACTAGGTTGGATGATGGAAAGAGGAGTCAAGAAGAGATATTGGGTTCAAAATCACAGCTTTTGGCATTTGGGGTTGTGGTCATCCCCAGCGTTGAGGGCTTGGGATGACCCCAACGTTGAGGATTTGGGGTTTGGTGGACCCCAGCCCAACATCACACATCCCCATCCCAGAAAAGGACGTTTTGGGACCCTCTGATCCCCATTCCACCCCAAGAGCAGCACCTAACGTGTTTTTTCCCCCAGGCTTCATCAAGGTCATCCTCTACATGGCCTTCATGACCATCATGATCAAAGTCCACACCTTCCCCCTCTTCGCCATCCGCCCCATGTACCTGGCCATGAGGTGAGTCGGCTTTGGGGCCCGTTGCGCCGCGTTCACTCTGCGATCCCAACCCCAATGGATCCCAAATCCTCACCCCAGTGGATCCCTGACCCCAATGGATCCCCAGTCCTGACCCTAATGGATCCCCGACCCTAATGGATCTTGACCCCAATGGACCCCAGTCGATCCCTGACTCTGATGGATCCCCTACCCCAATGAATCGCCAATGGATCTCTGACCCCGATGGATCCCCAGTCCTGACCCCAATAGATCCCAAATCCCAACCCCAATGGATCCCTGACCTCAACAAACCCTCAACCCCACTGGATCCCCAATCCTGACCCCAATGGATCCCCGACCCCAATGGATCTCTGGCCCCACCGAATCCCGAATCCTAACCCTGATGGATTCTGACCTCAGAGGATCCCAACCCCAAACCCAGTTGATCCCTGACCCTGACAGATCCCCAGTCCCGACCCCAACCCCAGTGGATCCCCGTTCCCTTGCAGGCAGTTCAAGAAGGCAGTGACGGACGCCATCATGTCGCGCCGCGCCATCCGCAATATGAACACGCTGTGAGTCGGGCTGCCAGCACTCCTCCCTCCTCTTGGGGTCTGGGTCCGGGGCTCCTTGTAGGGTGGGATCCAACCCAATGTCAGCTTGGGTGAAACTGGGGGAAGGGGGGGGGGGGAACGGATCATTTTTGCCCTAAAAGTGGGTTGGGTTGATCCTATAGGGTAGAGAAAAGGGTTGTGGGTATCCGGAAATCTGAACGAAAGTTGAATTTGAGCCAAAAAAATGATGGGATGTGGTGAGGAGGGAACGTTCTGTTGGCTTTGTTGGTCTCTTCTGAAGGGTGGGAGCCAACTCAAGATGATTTTGTTCCAAATTTGGGGGAAAATGCCTCATTTTTGCCCTATAAATGGGTTGCATTGAGGCTGTAAGTAGAGAAAAGGGTTGTGGGTGTCTGGAGAAGTTGAATTTAATGAAAGAATTCATGGATTGCGGTGAGGAGGGAATGTCTTGTTGGATTTGTTGATGGGTGGGATCTGATATAAGATGAGCCTACTCCAAATTTGTGGGAAAACAGCTCAGTTTTGCCCTAAAAAAGGGATTGGGAAGACCTGACGGGAAGCAGAGGTTGTGGATATTCTCACATCCAACCAAAAGTGGTTTCTGAGCCAAAAAACGATGGATGAACGCGAGGGGTGGAGGTCTTAGGGGGTCCTCTCGTTATCCCTGTGGGATTTTGGGGTCGGTTTGGGGGGATTTTGCTTTCCAATCCCATTGTAACCCCATAGTTACCCCGATGCCACCCCGGAGGAGCTGCAGTCCATGGACAACGTCTGCATCATCTGCCGTGAGGAAATGGTGACGGGGGCGAAGCGTCTGCCCTGCAACCACATCTTCCACACCAGGTTTGGGGCGAAATGCCGCCCTTTTGGGGTCGCCTTTGGGGTTTTTGATAAGGTTGGCATGATGGGTTCCCTGTGTTTCCCCCACAGCTGCCTGCGCTCGTGGTTCCAGAGGCAGCAGACGTGCCCCACGTGTCGCATGGACGTCCTCCGTGCCACTCTGCCCCCTCAGCCGCCCCCTGAAGCTGCAGAGCAGAACCCGGCGCCGCCTCAGAGCCCTCCGGGTGCTCAGCCCCAAAACTGTGAGCAGCCCAACCCCGAAAAAAATCCACACAGGTTTCCCTTTAGGGTGCCCCAAAACAGTGGGGTTTCCACCTGTATCCAGGCTGAACGCTTCCAGTTGTTGGCTGGGGTTGGGTGTGGGATTTCCGCCAGCTGTAGGATGGGGGTTTTAGGGTTCTGGGACCCCTCTGGGGCTCTGACCCGTACCCAATCCCATTGCAGTCCCACAGGGGATGCTCCCCCCGTTCCCCCCGGGGATGTTCCCGCTGTGGCCGCCCGTGGCTCCGTTTCCTCCCATCCCCGGTGCTCAGGGACCCCCCAACCCCGAGAGCCCTGCTGCTGCTCCAGGTGAGCCTCACCCCCACCCTCCCCCTGCTTTTATGGGGTCAGTGTTCCCCCGTCCCGTTCTTACACCCCTTTGGCCCCACAGCCACCTCCAGAGCCGGGGATGGCAGTGCTTCGGGTTCGGATGGCACTGCAGCACCGGGCTTTGCTCTGCCCCCCCCGTGGATGGGGATGCCATGGCCGCCCATTTTTGGTGAGTGGGGGCGGTTTTGGGGTCAGGCTGTGGGGTTTTGGTCCCATTTTCTCTTGGCCCCTTTGCCCTGCGGGGTTTGGCGTTCAGCTGTGGGGTTTTCTCCCCAATATTCATCCCTAAATCCTGCAGGATGTTGGGGTTCATCCATGGGATTCCCTCTCTAGTGTCCACCCTCAATCCTGCAGGGTTTGGGGTTCATCCATGAGGATTTCCTCCCCAATACCAATCCCCACAGTCCTGCAAGATATCGGGGTTGATCCATGGGAGATTTCTTCCCATATTTCACCCAAAAATCTCAGCAGGGTTTTGAGATTGACCCATGGGATTTTCTTCCCACTGTTCAGCCCTCAGTCCTGCAGGTTTTGGGGTTCAGCTGTGGGGATTTCTCCCCAATATCACCTCTAAATCCTACAAGATTTGGGGGTTCATCAATGATGTTTTCTCCCCTATATCATCCTTAAATCCTGCAGGACTTGGGGGTCCACCCATGGCCTTCCCTCCCCCCGCGTATCCGCATACAATTTTGAGGTTCATTTCTGGGCTTTTCTTCCCAGTCTGTACCCAAAATTCTGCAGGATTTGGGATTTCCTCCTTTCTAACCCCCCAAAACGTGCAGTATTTCAGGATTTTCCCCCTTTCTCCTTCCTAAATCCCACAGAATTTGGGGATTTCCTTCTTTCTCACCCCAGAAACCCCTCACAATGTGGGGATTTCTCCCCAGACTCCACATTATTTCAATATCCCCCCTTTTCCCCCCAGGTTTCTCCCCAAAACCCTCCTAACAATTTCAGGATTTTCCCCTTTATCCCCCGTAACGCCCCACAGTGTTGGGATTTCCCCTTTTCTCCCCCCCAAACCCCACAGCATTTCAGTATCCCCCCCCAATCTCCATCCCCCCCAGGGCTGCCCCCCATGCCGGTTCCCCCCGCCGGCTTTGCGGGGCTGACAGAGGAGGAGCTGCAGGCCATGGAAGGCCACGAGCGGCAGCACCTGGAGGCTCGGCTGCAGAGCCTGCACAACATCCACACCCTGCTGGACGCCGCCATGCTGCAGATCAACCAGTACCTCACCGTCATGGCCGCCATCGGGTGCGGCCTGGGGTCAAGGGTTGGGGTCACCAAGGGGGTTGGGGTCAAGGGTTGGGGTCACCAAGGGGGTTGGGGTCAACATTTTTGGTCCCCAGTGGGGATGGGGTCAAGGGTTGGGGTCTCCAAGGGGGCTGGGGTCCCCACTGTGAGGTTGGGGTCAAGGGTTGGGGTCAACATTTGGGGTCACCATGGGGGTTGGGGGTCCCCAAAGGGTTTGAGGTCAAGGGTTTGGGGTCTCCAAAGACTCCGACGTCAACATCTGGGGTTTTCAAGGAGCTTGGTGTCAATTTTTTGTTCCCCCTCTTTTTTTTCCCCCCCCAGCTCCCCCCGTCCCGCCGCCCCCCACCCTGCACCCCCCTCCCAAGAGCCCCCCACACCTCCCCCTGCTGCTGCCACCGCTGCCGCTGCTCCCCCCTCCACAGAACGCAGCTCTTCGCCTTCCTCCGGTGCGTCTGAAATTCCCCCCCATCACAAATAACCCCCAAATTATGCTAATTGCTTTAATTGGGGCTTAGCTAACGAGGGGGGGGGCTCTGTTTTCCCACAGCGGATCCCGGTGAGGAAGAGGAGGATGAAGGAGAGCCCAGCACAGCCGAGCTGCGCCGCCGCCGCCTCCAGAAATTGGGGTCCCCATCGCCCCCCCCCGCCTCCCTCTGACCCCAATGAGGACTTTATTTGGGGGGGGGAGGGGGTCGGGGGGGCACCCACCCCTTCCTCTCAGATTTTGGGGGCACTCAGAACCCACCTGGAGCCCTTTCTGCCTCCCCCCCCCCCAAAAAAAAAGACTAAAATCACATCTGGAAGCATTTTGTGCCCTTCTCCTCCCCCCCAGATGTCCCTGTCCCCATTTTTCCCCGTTTTCCCCCCCCGTCATTGCCCCCAATTTTTTCCATTGTCCCCCTTTTTTCCCCCCATTTGCCCCCCCCTTCTCACCACCACATCCCTGGAGGAGCCACTTTTTGGGGACCCCCCCATTTTGAGGCACAAATTGAAGTTCTTTCAGCCAACGCTTTGAATCAATCAGCCCCCCCCAGATTGCTCAAAACCTTCCTCTTTTCACCCAATTTGGGCTCCTTTCACACCTCCCCCCCATTGGCACAAACCTCTGCAGTTCTACCCTCTGCTTTCCCAGCTCTGATTTTGGAGGCAAAACCCCAAAATCCATCACTTTGAGTGGGATTTTGGGGCGCCTCAACCCCAGGATGTTGGGGGGGGTTAACGGGCCCTCATTTCTGGATGGGCTCATTAAGACAGTATTAATTAACACCATTCATTTTAGGATCCTGCCTGGACTGCTGCGCTCAGCGCTCTCATCGCCTCCTAGCTCCAAATTCTCCACTTTTCAGCCCAAAATGCAGCAGGAGTGAAGATCCTCCAATGGGGTCAGCTTCAAAGATCCCCCAGTTGGGGTCAGCCCAAAAATCCCCCAGTGTGGGGCTGACCTGGAAGACCCCCATGTGGGCTCAACCCCAAAGATCCCCCAATTTGGGGCCAGCTTTGGAAGATGCCCCACTTTGAGCTCAGTCCCAAAAGATCCCTCCCAGTTTGGGGTCAGCCCCCAAACATCCCCCAGAAGGAGTTGGCTCCAAAGCTCCCCCATTTTGGGGTCAGATCCCCCAATTTGGGGTCAGCCCCGAAGATTTCCTCATGGCCCCATTGGACGTTGTGACCCTTCAGTGCCTCTTTGAACCAAAAGGGCTCCAGGAGCCCCAAAATCTCAGGGAAAAATGGGGGGG